AAACATGTCAGTGATGTGTAACATTGTTCTAGCTTCTCAAACATTTTACTATCTTTATTCAATTCCAAACCCTCCTAATTGCATCCTGTTTCGATCCTATCTGTATTGGAGATTACTTCAACTACCTTTAGAACTTTTTATTAAAGCTTCCAATCATACCAGTGATGTGTAACATTATTCTAACTTCTCAAGCATTTTACTATCTTTATTCAATTCCAAACCCTCCTAGTTGCATCCTGTTGGTTTTTTTATATATAGGGACATCATAGAGAGAAACACCATCTTAACTTTTTATGTAGTTTTTTCCTATTTTCATATTTCCCTTATACCCATTAAATTAATTTACCATTTTATTAGCATTTAAATACCACATTTCCATTTAACTCTAATCTTACTTTACCAACATGCACACTACCATCTTTTAGCAATAAACATCTCCTTCTTAACATAAGCACATAAGCACAGACCCTCTGACACTTCTCTTCACAACCTCTCCTTTTACATCACCCTCCTTTTTTATTTTTCTTTTAACATTTTCCTTCAGAGGTTTACCATTTTTTTAATTATATGACTGTTAATTCTTTGGACTATTAACTCTCTCTTCCAAAGCTGTACAGAGGCTTTACATTCCTTTAACTCTCTTTAGAATAGTTCAAAATTCATTATCATATACCCACAAATCCTATTAATACCCCAATTAATTAATTTTTCCTTTTAATCAACCAACTTATTCATACTACTTCCAAATTCATTAACTAACACCTATCATTCATATAATTTGCTCTCCCCATTCATAAATTCGTAATCACCCCTCTCATTCTTACAGTCAAACATAAAATTAACCTTTTCCACCTTCCATTTCCATCTCCTCCAAATTGATTATCTATCACCTATCATTCAAAATTCATTACAATTTACCCACAAATCCTATTAAAACCCCAATTAATTAATTTTCCCTTTTAATCAACCCTTACATTCATACTCCTTCCAAATTCATTAGCTATCACCTAGCATTCATATAAATTTAGTCTTCCCATTAGTAAATTAATAATTTAATATTTACTCTCATTCTTTCAATCATACCTTATAAAATTACTAACATTGTATATAATAAATACTAGTAAGTAACTTTAACCGACTGACACCACTACAAATGGAAATACATATTTAAAGTGATTTGTTGGGTCTTTTTCCCAAGTAATCCTAAATTTAATATTCACTCTCATTCTTTCAATTAAATCTTATAAGATTACTAACAATGTATATAATAAATACTAATAAATAGATTTAAACAACTAACAGCACTACAAATGAAAATACATTTTTAAAGTGATTTTTTGGGGTCTTTTTTCTCAAGTAATCCTACATCTGAAAAACACCAAACTTTCTATTTTTATACAGTTTATTTTTCTCTTTCCGCCTCTGTCTTCTGTTCTTCTGTCTCAATCCTTCTACTTGGCTACGATCTTTACACATCTTTTGACCACCTAGTCTTTCCTTTCTATATTTCCATCTTTCCTCTTTCCATAATTTACTTCCTTCTTTCCTTTTCCTCTCCCATTTTTTGCCTCTTTTGATCCTTCCCTCTCTCTTACTTCCTGTTTTTTGTCTCTGTTTCTTCTCTTTTAACAGTCCTTTTAACAGTTTTATTGTGCCTCTGGCTATTTTGTTACTTAGTCTCTCTTTTGTTCCTCCAAAAACTACGCCGTCTGTAGTTTGTATTTTTTCCGGTTGTTCTACTATAACAATGTCCCCTTCCTCCTTTTGGTCTCTTTGGGCAAGTTTTGTCCCTGATTTTCTCTTTCTCCTTTTCCATTTTCAGTGCTTCGTAATTTCCCCAGTATTTATTTACATGCCTCCTCACAACCTCTCTGAACAGCCTCTTGAATTGTCTCTTTCAGGGCTTTCAGGAAATCTTCCATCTTCATTTAATAAGCTATGTCCCCTTTTCCCCTCTCTGCCAGTAATCCAAACCAACACGATACAATGTAGCTCCTCTTCCCCCCGAAATAATAGAAAAAACTCACAGTCTCGTCCATTTCTTTCCCGGCCGCTTTTTTTCTCCGCGAAGGACGTGATTCTTTTTGGGGGTAGCTTCTCTTTACTCTTTCCAGCTTCTTTTCTGTGCTCCTGTATCACTGCCAAATGTTGCTGCCAATTGTAATCCTTTTATATGTTTAAATAAAAACAGCGGATGGTCGCGTCTAGTGGAGCAGGCTGGCGGCCATGTTCCTCCTTTCCAATCGCCTCGGCGTTGGGGCTGTACTGGACACCCCCCGCCCTGCTGAAAGCGGGAGGGGCCAGAAAAATGCCCCTTGCTCCAGCTCCCACCACCGGGGTGCTGGTCGAGCTCTCCTGACAAGCAGGGGGCTCGAACGAAGCGAAAGTGGTTCGGGCGGGGACGGAGCGTTCCATGCTCCCGCCCGCCTGTCGACATGCTGTACCGGACTGGGTTACTGTTTTCGGCTACATAGTGTTCTAATAGTATCCCATTGGCTATTTAATTCCAGATTGGGTGACTTCACCCCTGTGATTTGTCAAAGAGGAAGGATAATGAAGCAGGCAGGGAAACAATGGTTCCAAACAGTAACAGGGGGTTAAATTGACATATCCTATTATTTGGCATGAGAAATTTTCAACTACCAAAAGATTAATGAGAAATTACTTGACTATAATAAGATGCTGCATTTCTTTCATCATTATCCACACTTGATTCCTAGTATAATTTTTTTGAGGGGGGATGGGTGTGTGATGATACATACTATATATAGTTTCATGATTAGTATTCTCTTCTTTTGTATGCATACTTCTAAAGTCAAGTTTTAGTGGAGAGTTGTACAATACTTATTTGATTAAACACCTCTTCTTGTAAAAAAAAATTGTTCTAAGGACATCTACAATGGCTTATTGATAGATAAACATTCTGGTAGAGAGATATGATTTGAACAGCATTTACCTGTTGTGAGGCACTTTACTGAAGTGATGGATATAAGAAGCTGATGGAATTCATATGCATGGTGATGAGGCTGTTGGAACCTTATTAAACTGCTACTGTGCAAAGCAAAGTAAAAGGCCTTTGTGCTTAGAAGACTTAGAAGCCTAAAGATAGAAGACAGTAAGATGTCACAATAAGTACATTACTGATCCTGAAAGCATCTGAAGGTCAAGACATTAATGTCACAATTCATACTGTCTGCTTTTCATAAATAGTCTTTCCTAATGAAGGCTTTGTTCACACAACTTTACATCCCCCCCCGAGAGTTAAAAGGTATACATTCAATACAATTCCACCTATATGTGTTCTTTAAGATTCATGTCTCCCTAGATAACATAGGGTTTTTGTGTTTTTTCCTTTAAAATGTTGAGGGTCTTTTAGGCACTGCCTAAATAATTTGAATCTGTTTTTTTATAGACATTGAATGACAAAGTGGCATTTTGTTATGAAACGATACTTGGACCTATTTCAAACTTGTACTGGGCCTATAGAACTTTTTAACCCACAAGCATTTTTATGAGCCCACTTACCCACACAAAGCTTATTTTTGTCATTTTTGTCATTTTTTTCAATGTTTTTGTAATTGTCTTTTTGCTTGGAGTAATTCTTCATTGCCATGGACAGCTAGGAAAGTGCTTCATTAAAAAATAAAATATATGCTCTTCTTTATGACTTAGGACCTCATAGCAGTTCAGAATATATGTAACTTGAAACATGTACCATATGATGATCCATTTAAATGACAATACAAATAATATTAGTGTTTAAATAACTGAAGTATTTCCATTGAAACATCAGCTACAGTTCAGTATTTTTACCCAAGTAGAAAATGCTCTCTTCGAGAACAAAGGTTGTAAGATGTGTCTGAATGCCAGGAGATGGTCTGACTGCCTATGGTGCGGCCACTGAGAAGGCCTTTGACTGGTTGTTTATTGGCCAAGTTTCAGATAGTGGGACTACCTGAAGTAAGGCCTGCGTAACTATCTTAAGGCATGTTGAAGAACATAAGGGAGTAGAAACTACTTCTGTTAGTGGGAATGAGACCATATTTATAAGCCTAGTATATTTTACATATTTTTTTCAGATGATGTGATGTTATTGTTAATGAAACTGCCAACAAAAACTGTACTTGCAGCATCATAGTCTTTATACATGCAGCTTTATGTCCTTTGCAGTTAGAGTCAGCTCTGCCCTCCTCAACCTCTCTTTGGGGCAGGGGACTTCAGTGGCACGAATCATCCTATGGTTCCCAGCCTCTAGGTGGAACTAGGAGACCTCCTGGAATTACAACTGATCTCCAGAGAAAATGGCCACTTTGATGGGTGGACTGTATGGCACTACACTCTGCTGAAGTCCATCCCCTCCCAAAACTCCAACCTCCCCCTCTAATATCCAGGAGTTCATCATAGTCTTTATTTATACATACGGTTTTATTTCCTTTGCAGTTAGAGTCAGCTGTGCCCTCTCAACCTCTCTTTGGGGCAGGGGACTTCAGTGGCACGGATCATCCTATGGCTCCCAGTCTCTAGGTGGAACTAGGAGACCTCCTGGAATTACAATTGATCTCCAGAGAAAATGGCTGCTTTGATGGGTGGGACTGTATGGCATTACACTCTGCTGAAGTCCATCCCCTGCCAAAACCCCAACCTCCCCCTCTAATATCCAGGAGTTTCCCAACACGTAGTTGGCAACCCCATCTGCTCTCTTCAAGTAGCCATCCTTTCAAGTGGCCATATGTGTCAGATCCTCTTTTGACTTGGATATGCTTGTCATTTGGCAGCATATTGGAAAGCCACTGTAGATTTGGGGGCACAATGGAAGTAAGGAGAAGATTAAATTTCTCCCTAATGGCTTCAAGTAGAAAGGAGATGGTGTGTTCATCATCCACTTGCCAGCCATTTTGGTGCAGCAAATTGCTGACAACAGCTCCTAATTCTCTAGTTTGCATCACTGGTGGTGCTACTAAAACCCTGATTTTCTTCTGTCTCTTTTCCCCTTATGCTAGCTTTCTACAACTATGATGCCAGGGGGCCAGATGAACTGTCTTTGCAGATTGGAGACACAGTGCACATACTGGAAACACATGAAGGTGAGTGAGTGGTACAAAAGTTGTTTTGCTATGTGTTATTTGCATAGTAATTATTGTGAGTATATGGGTGAGTGAATATATCTTTCTGTTTTAGCTACTCAGTCCTATTTTGAAAACAAATGAAGCACTGAAGAATTTAAATGGGCACAAAATTAAGTCACCATTTTAAATGAGAATAAATGTAGTGCCTAATTAATAAGTTTTTCAAGATGCATCTCTCTTTTTTTTCTTTGCAAGAACAAGATTTATATTTGTGTGGCTTAATTTATATGGATCTCTGGTAGCGATGGCTGAGCTGTAAGAAAGATGATAGATGTTCCAAGGTTACCCTCAGATAGTATACAGGGCCCTTCTTTTAAAAGGTGTTAAATCTCCAGTGCTGAAAATATAAATGATATTTATCTTCTAAATTACTTATAATCCTGTGTACAATAGTAGTAAATGTATCTCTGCTTGTTCAGTCCTTTTCAAAAACAATCTTTTTTATTTTCATCCCCTCCATTGTTAGGTTCAAGTGAAGCAGTATTAGTATATTATAACAACACTTTAGATTTTTACACCATATTTAACTCTTACCAGTATTAGTTTTGAGCATTTTGTATACAGCCATGAGGAACAGTAAGAAAATATTTAGCTGTTATTTGTGGCTTCCATGCAACACAGATGTTGTTTGCTTTCTTTTATATGTGATCTGTTATCAAGCACTTTTGTGTGCATCCAGACATCAGTAGTGAGGAAGGCTGAAATCCAAACTGTTGCAGGTGCACAAGCTTTATTGACAGCACAACCCCCCCCCATTCCTCCCCAGACTGGAGCCTTATTCTCTTTCTCATCAATATGTATGTTTTCTTGCTCTTCCTCTAGCTTTTCTTCCTCTGACCTTTTCAGACCCAAATAAAGGATGCAGTTGCACCGTTTCTACTGACACTTTACAGCCCTAGAAAGGCTGCTTGCATAAAATGCATAGCAGGGGGTCTCTATCACAGTTGATAGCAGGAGGTATGCCCTTCCTTTCTCATTTGTTTGTTAATTTTAAAAGTCAGATGCTGTTGCATGCCTCACCACCACAATGACATATGCAGACTTGTGTAGCGGCGTAGATTAGACTTTGGGTCTCTGGCAAGCAAATGTAATTAGTAAGCTTCTGTTTGTCTTAGACAGGGATCTTTCTTGGACCCAATATCACCTGAAGGAAGGAAGAAGAGGTGAAAGTATCCAGTACTAGTTGGGATGTTTTTTCTATTCTCTACCAACATCAATTGGTAGCTAGTGTACAGTGGCAGTGAATGTATACTAATTTGCTGGTGTTCCAAGGGGGTAGTCACAACCAGTGGAAAGAAGCTGTTCCCTGTAGGCAGTCACACGGTTGTTGTTGTTTTGAATGAAATGGGAGGAGTTTATCCCTCAGTCTTCCCATTTCATTCAAAATTCAAGAGTCACAGTTTTGGCCATGTCTGGGTAGCAGACAGGTGGTCAACTGCACTCATGAAAGACCACAATGACTTTGAGGGTGTGCCTGGAGAGGTATTTTTTTTCAGTCACTGTCAGGAACTGAGGTTGGGCTGTCCTTTCTGGATGAGCCTCTCTAAAGATTCACTCTCTGGGAGGGGAGGAAGGATGTGGGGACTCTGTTTCAGCCAGGAGTTTCCCCCTGTCCCTCCTTCTGAGGCAGTGGAACAGCATTGGAAGCCACTGTCTCACTTGACTCCATGCAACTATTGTCCAGGGCGAGGGCCTTTACTGTCATGGTGCATTGTAATAACTGACTGCATAGCTGGGAAGCACACCCAGCTTCCCAGGCTCAGGTAGCTAGTGTTCCATTCAAAGCCTCTTCAGGATGCCATAGGCAAATATCTATTGGATAACAAGGATAAGAGGAAGGCATTGCCAAGGCTCAGGAAGGGACCACAGGACAAAAAAAAGATGTTTGTTTCTTTCACAATTCCAAACCCAGTACTAGTCTGGCTCGCCGCATAACTTATTTTGTCAAACTGAGCCATTGTGAGAATGTCATCAGGACTAACACTGAAGTAGTGGTACGGTCTAAATTAGGAATTTTGCTCTTGCACTTTAATTGATCCGGCACTTTAAGAAAATGAAAAATTGATTGTTTATGTATGTTTTATGTATGTTTTAACTGTATTTTTATGTATGCATTTTATGTAAGCCACCCTGAGCCTGCCTTGGCCGGGGTGGGGGGGGCGGGCATAAATCGAACAAATAAATAAATTGCTCCAGATCTTTTTGAGCTAAGAGCTAATGACGAGCTCCAGATCTTTTAGAGCTAAGAGCTAATGGCAGCAATCCAGGTCCTCTGCAAGTTCCAACAAGCTCTCCTCTCAGCCCAGAAGAGCATGAAAGAAAAGCTTCTCAGCCTATCACCAGCCCCCTCACAGCTTCTCAGGACGTTGGAGGCTATCTGTTGCTTTTCACATATATCTGTCAACAATCCTTCTGTGACCAGTTTATTTTGGACACTGTCTCCAAGGATTATTCCCTGGAATTTAAGGACTTGCTCCTAAACAAATTTATGCAAGTTCCTGGGTTATCACTTCCCATTGAAGTATTGTCTCTTTCTCTAAGCCATAGGCAGCTTTACTCTGTTTAATTTAATATAGGTGAGTTCTTTATCTCAGGATCTTCTGAATTTAAAGTTTGATGGAATATATTAGGTTGGATTGCTGGAGATGCACTTGACTCAGTCAGATTCTAAAATATTGATGACTGGTACTTTCAGATTTTAAATTAATGTTCTTAATCACCTAGTATTTAATTCTCTTCTCCATTCACTAATTAATAATGTCTCTTTGAAATGCTGAAAGAAACATGTAGGTCAACTTTGCTATGCTATTCTCAATCAAGATGATTAAGCTTGCCAGCAATGGTACTTCCTATATAGCCGCAGAAGGCTTCTTGTAGCTTTTGACACCACAGTTGTTAAATCACCTAGTCACTGACATGAGGGTGACAATATCCATTTATGAGGCTGTATTTTATTTAGTAGTGCCAATCATATATGCTGTTTTGCTCCTCAAGCATTCAAAGATCAAGCAAGTAAACATTTAGAAAAATAATACAAAGTTAGACCATGGATTCAAAATTGCCATTCAATTTGGTTAATTGCACTTTTGAAGAACCAAGCACCTAAGAACTGAATTTTGATGCTGTCATCAAGAAAATATGTTTTTCAGTTCAGAACACTGGGGCTAATTGTTCTCTTGTCTTAAGGCAGAAGAATATTTTAGTTAATAAATTTTAGCAGAACAGTGAATCATGTAGCCACCCTGAGCTGGCCTTGGCTGGGAGGGCAGGGTAGAAATTTAATAAATCAAATCAAATCAATCAATTTTTGTATAACTTGCTAGCATCTTTCACTGATAACAAAAAGAATAATTTCAATTGATAGTCTGTAATCCAATGACAATAATTTTTTGAAATAGCCTTGAGCTCCTTGGGAGGAAAGCGATGGCGAACCTCAACAGCATGATAAAAAGTAGAGACATCACCCTGCCAACAAAAGTCCACATGGTCAAAGCAATGGTATTCCCAGTAGTCATGTATGGCTGCGAGAGTTGGACTATAAGGAAGGCCGAGCGCCAAAGAATAGATTCTTTTGAACTATAGTGCTGGAGAAGACTCTTGAGAGTCCATTGGACTGCAAGAAGATCAAATCAGTCAATCCTAAAAGAAATCAACCCTGACTGTTCCCTGGAAGGCCAGATAATGAAACTGAAGCTCAAATACTTTGACCACCAAATGAGAAGGGAGCGCTCACTGGAGAAGACCCTGATGCTGGGAAAGATTGAAGGTCAAAGAAGACGGGGACGGCAAAGGATGAGATGGTTAGACAGTGTCATAGATGCAACGAACATGAAATTCAGCCAACTTCAGAAGACGGTGGAAGACAGGAAGGCCTGGCGGGATCTGGTCCATGGGGTCACGAAGAGTCGGACTTGACTGTGCGACTGAACAACAACAATTAAAAATTACTTTATTGCAGTTTTAGTCTACTTTAGTCTACTTTAGTCTACTTTATTAAAGAATGATGGAAGAAATATGCTCTTTGGAACCACTGTGGCCCAGCATACCAATAAGCTTGAACTTGGGGACAACTGAGTTCACATTCTGTTTCAGGTACAAACTTACTGGAAGACTGTGAAAAGACATGGCAAAGGCCCTTGGTATGCAGAACTGGAATTATAATGGTGTGTCTTTGCAGTTGGTAATTAACAAAATTAAACATTTCATCAAGCATTCTGTATAATTATTTTCCCAAAAATCCAGGAAGAGAGACCAGTAGATGAACACAGGGTGCTGTGGGTATAGTCAAAAATAGATGGTACCCTTTATTACTATTTGTATTGTATTGCCCATTCTGGACCCATTTTAAGTGGCTGGATTTGGCTTGATATCCATGGAGAGAGTCTTTCCCAGCTTTGGCTACTAGATGCTTCTTGCAACTGTTTATTAGAGCTAGCTTGGGATCATGCTTCAAATTAATACACTTGTGATCATTATAATTATTGGAAGCTTTTATCCTGTTAATTAGTTGTTCAGAAAATACCGGCTTCTCTGAGGTAATGGATAACAGTTCAAATCATTCAGTGTTAAATTAGGCAAGCTTCTTGTTAGGTGGCCCCAAATAAATTTGTTGAAAATCTATTCACTCTTTTTAATGACAGTTAAATTGGAGAAGAAAGTCTTTTCACATTTATTTCTATCTGCAGTTCTGTTTAACAGAATAGTAGATAGGCAAAGAGATCCTTCCCTCAGGTGTATGGCAATAATCTCTTTTACTTGAGGCAGGCAAGCCCTCTGCATTGCTTGCGGGGGGGGGAAAACTGGTCTAATTTGAAGAAATTAGATGTGCTGAAACTGTGTAGTCTTTTACCATCTTTGTTATAACATTTGTCTCTGGCCTCTCCAGAGGATCACGGAGAGAAAGGACCAATATTTACTGAGACTGACATACAGAACAGTTTACAATGCAGGTTTGCTTGCCAATTTTGTGCTGAATTGAGTACAGTTTGTATGTGAGATCCCTCCCAATTTGCCTGGCACAGTACCATCACTGCATGTCAATGCCTATTGTGTATGGGATTTTTTTAATTAAACAGTCACACTAAAACAGAATGGACTTGGTAGCAATAAAAGCTCGTATTGCTGATCGCTTGCAGATGTGTTGTGTGTGGGGAAGGGGGCACAATGAATGAGAAATTACCTCTGTTTGCCTGGCATGGCATCCTGCCTCCACAAATGTGAGAAATGTTTTGATGGGCTGAAATAATTATACTACAATAGGGCTGTCAGTGAGGAAAATCTGTATAGCTAGCTGCTAGGGTGGGGGTAGGGGAAGAGATGCTTCTTGCTCATTCATGTTGAGTGTTTTGGAGAAGGGGCATATATTTTAACTGTGGTAGGCAACGTAAAAAAAAAACTCCTGTTAAAATGCATTTATTTAAAAACCCACCCAGTCATCAGTAAGTATCTTTGTTTTGTCATTTCTGTTTTTCTAGTCTGTTAAGCAGGCCAGCATAGTTAGTTATCTGCAGTTTCTGTCTTTCTGGGCAGGCACATTAGGTAGCTGCATTAGGCAGCACTTGATAGGTCATCTTGGGATAAATAGGTAGAATATAAGCAGCCTGTTGGATCCAGAAGCTGTATGGGTGTGAGATTTACCAAAGGAATATGGGGTGAAGAGGTGAGGATCCCAAAAAAAACCCTGTGTTTTGAATGAAGGAAGCCCTGTTGGTACCACTGCAAGGTGAAAGGGAAGAGATTGCTAGGTCTGAAAAGTTGCAGTTGAAGTCACACTCGCAACTGTGATGCAATGGGAATGAAGGATGGTGGATACAGTACATTGCCTTGGAAACCACAATCCAAAAGCTAACATAACTGCTTAGCTTTACCCTCTAAGTGGCAGAGACTGGGTCTCTGTGGTATCAGATCAGTGCTCCGGCACTGTTCATCCAACCTCTACAAAAAATGCTCAAGTTGGTTCTGGTGGAGACCATTAATATTTTATACTCCTAGTATAATGCCTTGAATTTGATCACATGTGGAATATGGTTCTGTTGATCTCGTCTGAAAATGGAAGCAACAGTACTGAAAATGTGCAAAAAAAGCAACTAAATGGATCAAGAGGCTGAACTCTCTTCTACAAGATAGCCCCTTCCCCCCACAACTAAAGGCAGCTAAAAGGAGCTGATCAATGTTTACAGTAATAAGAACAAAACTGGGAGAGTGGATGTAATGTTAGAACTCAGGGTCACCAAATGAAGGACAGACTTTATAATCAATACATCATTCTGTGGAATTTACCACCACCTTAGAGCGAAGGGCCATAGATCTGTGCTTTGCTTGTAGAAGGTTCCAGGTTCAATCTTTGGCGTTATATGGGAAAAGATTTTCAGTAGCAAGGCTGGGAAAAATCTCTGGGGCTTGGGGAAGTGCTACCAATCAGAATAATGAACAGCAGGCTAGATAGATGGTGGTCAAGTTGTAAAGTCATTTCATTTTGTTCAGAGTCTACCTCTTAATACCAAAGCCTGGGGAAAATTAGCAGGGGATAGTTTCCCTGTCAGGCTCTGCTTATAAGTTTTGCGTTGCATCTGGCTGTCTGATCTTGGAAATGGAGAAGTTATACTTAATAACATTTTGCTTGATACAGAAAATAAATTATGCTCTTGTAAGTTAAGTACATTGGTTCAAAACTAGTCAGCATTTAACAAGCATAATATAGATATAGATATTAAAACTCTAAAAATATGTACATTTTAAAAATTGAATATATATGGCTGCTGTGTTTAAAAGCAGATTAGTGCATTCTTTAATAAGATATTTGTGATTAAGCTAAAAAATTAGAAAGGTTTAAATTTTCTAGTTTTTGTCGCCTGTATTAGGGAGCTATTGGTGGAACATATTTGTTGTCTACTAAGAAATTTCAAATCTTCTTTTCTTTTGGCAAAACTGCTGTAGTCAGTAGGATTGTTCCAGAATAAAGTAGTTTAAATAATTCTGTTTGTTTTTAGGAATCACAAATTATCTTTTGAAAAGTCATTACAGCGGCCTTGAAATTATGTGATGCTGTAAAAGCCCTCTTTAACATTAGTATGTTCTCATGACAGCTTATAATTTTATGAAAGGTTCAAAGTAGAAGCTGACATGTACATAAAATATTAAACTAGGTATGCAGAAATAATTCACTGTTTTGTAAATATTATTGAATGTTCTATTTACGGGCAGCAAAACTGGAGTATTAACTGCACCGTGCATGGACATTTTATAAAGCAGGACACCTCTTGCTTTGTTTTTGTGCCAGCGTTTACAAAAAGTGGGCTTTTTTAAAGCAAAGGTTGTATAAACTGTAATAGATCTGTATCTTACATTGAGATCTGCTTGAATTGTGGACAAGCTGCTTCCAATTAGCTAACAATAGTTTATTAAGAAATTCTGTCTTCTAGGTTGGTACCGAGGCTACACTTTAAGAAAAAAATCTAAAAAAGTAAGTACTCTGTTTCCATAGTAACTGAGTGTATGTGTGTTTTTGGAATTTCTTAAGAGATTCTATGCTCTGTTGAAAGTTCTTATTGAAAGATAAATTAGAACTTATGTGAAATACATGTTGAAGTGTCTAAATGCTGATGAAGTTGGCTTCCTGTTTTGTTAAAATAATGGATTACTCATAAAATGAAATTGCTTCTTGAAAAGTGATAAGCACTCTTATATTTTCTGCCATTCTCTGGAAAAATGACTTGTTGATTAGCCTGTAGACATACTTAAATTTTTATTTGTTTACAGCCATCTTTATAAGATGGGAACGGTGTAGTTAACATTTATGGTAGCTTTGAACTCTAATTTTAATAGCTATTTAAACAAAGTTAAATATTTTCTCTGTCTGAAGAAAAGACTGTCTAGCTCTTAAAATATTTTGATGATGGCAAAGGGTTACTTATGGGATCCAATTTAGTTGACTGAACTCAGATCCTGTGGATTGACTTTGGTGTTAATCTCTTAGAGAAACAAAGATTCAGTAGTTCTTCAGGTGTCTGTGCATCTGAGTCATTCACACATGGAAGTCATCTGTTGTCATATCTTATGAAGAGCATGTTGAGTCTGCTGACCATTTTGTGGTTCTTGTGAACTAAGACCACAGTCTAACACATTAAAAATGGCTTTCAAAGGAACTTAATTGTATGTTAAGTGGGATACTAGCCTGTGGCATACAGTACCGCTTTGTGATTGAATTCCCTTTTAGGTAATCTGCTTGATAAGATTCAGGAAGAATCCAACATTTATTTGAGGAATTCTGTTTAAAGCCAATTATTTTAATCTTTGGTCCTCATGGTAATGGGGCTCCACAGAGCTGACAGTTACAAGGAGGCTGCTTGAGAAACACAGCTCCAAATCTCCCTTGGGCACGTGGAACTATTTGCATGGTGTTTTGGCTCTGGCCTTGATCTTCCAGCAATTCAGACACATATTGGGTCATGGTCTGTTAAACTCATATACATAGGCTGCTTGTTTAGACTTTGAGAAGACTTTTGCTATCTTGATTTGGGTGTATCCTGGTCTTGTGAATGGGTCAAGTTTGTTTAAAATAACATTGAGGCAGCCATTTCAGCTTGTTGTAGCAGAGCAAAAAATGAGTCCTGTGGTACCATGAAGATTAAGATGGGCTCTAGCCTCAAAAACTGTTATTGTAATAAATCTGTTTATCTTTAAAGTAGTGATTCCCTTTTTGGTATGATGACCCAGAAGTCCCAATTTACTTGGTATGATGACCCACTAACAAACCCCCCAGAGCATGCACAAATCAATAAAACTACACAAGCCTGGGACTGACTTACACAGGCTTCATGACCTGCTTTTTGGGGTTGGGAAGCTCTGCCTTAAAGTACAAGTAGACTGCATTTTGTTCTGGGTTAAGTATTTTCAAGTAGAATGAGCTGAATATCATTAAGCAGTTGTTAACATCTTCTAAAACAAAGGGAGGATGAAAATGTAAAAGGTAAATAGCATTTGCAGAAAAAACCCCAAATCTAAATATGTTTATAAGACTTTATAATAACCTATGAATTCTCCTTCCTGTTAAAGGGCATATTTCCTGCTTCCTATATTCAGCTTAAAGAAGCAATAGTAGAAGGAAAAGGGTAAGTTTGGGGCTATAATGGTTAACAGATGAAAATTATAGTGGTCTTTTGCACTTATTAATGAATAAATATGGATGTAGTGGAACCAGTGGTTAGCATGTTGGGAGATTCAGCTTCCTTTTTCCTCCCATACATTTTTATTTGGTTTTAACATGTAATAGGGTAGGAAGGGTGCAAGGGATGGGATAAGACAAAAAGGAGAAGTTCCATCAAGTTTATAAAATAGCTGTTACAAATTTTCCGTCTTAATTCTTTGTTTCCATATCTCTTTCGTTTATATATTTACTAAAGCTAGTGACGCTTAATTAATTCGCTAAAATCTTCTATAGTGATTCCTGAAAAAATCAACCTGTACAGTTCAAGTTGGAGTTTCTTCAAGTTTATAAATTATATTAATTGTTCATGGTCTTCAAAGTTTCTTTCCACGCAGTCATAAAATGTTATCCAATTATCTCTTGCTTTTTGTTTACTTCGGTCTTTTAACAAATCCAACAGTATATCCATTTCTGCTGTTTCAATTTTTTTTGTCAAAAGTTCATTTTCCGTAGGTATCTCTGATTTCTTCCAGTACTTAGCATAAAGAATTCTTGCTGCCATGACTATATGTATAATTAAGTGCTTAACTTTCTTATCTTTTACATCAGGCCTAGGGAGATCCAGCTTCCAATTGCTATGGTAGCTTGCTGATTGATCATGGGCCTGTCATACACTTTCAGCCTAACCTACCTCACAGACTGTGATGATAAAATGGAGGGAATGAGAATGATATAAGTCTTTTTGGGTCCCCATTGGGGTGAAAAGTGGGGTATAAATTAAGATAAAAAAAATTTCTGCTTTCTAAGATCAAGGTTGGGCAGAGAAGCACAAGGATGAGGTCAGTAGATAGTCCAGATTTATGTGAATCTTAGAGCCTTTTAAAGGGACAGCATGAATGCCCACTCACTTTGTCAATATACTGTGGAATATTACCCTAACCTTTAGTGTCTCAGAGATTTCAGGGGGTGTCTTGGTGAAGTCAGAATAGCTGATTAGACTGCTGGGTCTGTGACCTTTTATTTCTGCCATTTTGTTGGAAACGGCAGGAAAGGGCTTACAGAGAACTGTTCACATGACAGGCTTCCATAGAAACAGCTTCCCCAAAGCAAAAGGTACTCATAAAAAGTGTTGGTGAGGCAGCTGGGCAATGAGAGAGATTAGTTGGGTACTGGGTAGGAAAGGTGGAGGACAGAAAACATTATGTTCCAAACCAGATGTTCTTTGCAGGTACATAAGCTCTAGTTATGTGTGAACAAAGTGGTCCACTCTATTCAAGCGAATGGGGAGAACGCACTTGAGTGGGATGAGTATGGTATGCACTGTGGCCTGAACTGGCAGCTTTAGTTTGAGGCACAGTACATTTGGAGTGAAGGATGACCCACTGCTTTTCATGACAACCCATTTAGTAATGGCCGCTATAAATGCATATTGACTTTTCCAGTCTCAGTTTTTAATAGCATTCTGATACAGCTACTGTGCCATGTTTTTCCTGATACAGCAAAAAATAATGAAGGGTTTGATGCCCTCCAGCAAAGATCTGGTACAAAGAGTATTTTTCCAGATCAAGAATCTTTCATGTACGCCTATTCTGCCAGATCTTATATTATTCTGTACATAGAACAACTCTATTTCAGCTTCTGATGGTGCTCTGTTGTCCTCATTGATTAACTTACAGATATTTGGGGCTGTTTAGGAATTCAGTATGCAGTACCCAATTACCCTTGCAACTGAATTAAAAGTCAAATGACTGATACTTGGGGAAAAATTATGATCAGATAGACTGTAAAATTGACAAAAACTTTGTTAGGTACAGGTCTGAATTTTAAAAACCTATTCTCTTCTGTCTGATTTATTTTTATGCTCTTTTAAATATGTAAATTACGAAAAGCACTAATCATTTGATTACTGCATAATAGCATGTTCCTGACTGATTGCAGAGCTCCTTCAGTTAGGGCTGTACTCCTGACATAGTTTGTGGTGTATCTGTTCTACAATACTTAGGTGATGCATTATTTAAATATAGTAATTTAAAGGCAGAAAGACTAAAGACTTGTAAAACAGTTTCTTGTGTCTTTGAAACTTAGCACTGCTGGAGTTGAGCAGCTGAGCAGTCTTCTTTGTAGTCACATGTAATGTTCCATTGGCTTTTCTGCTTGAGTGATGAATGCAAAATAATTATATATATATAAGGAATGTTATATTAGATACGATTTATAGGTTGTTGAATCTGAGAGTGGAATGGGTTATCTAGAATAATAAAGCATTTTAATATTTGATACTTTATTAATTGATGCACTGCTTGTTAGTAAATAACTTTCTCTTTGTTCAATGAGATGATATTGATTATTTCAAAACTCCTACATTTTTAGGCAACATGAAACTGTCATACCTAGCGAACTACCACTCATTCAGGAAGTTACCACAACACTACGGGAATGGTCTACGATATGGCGGCAACTCTATGTTGTAAGTAGCTTTTTTAAACAGAGTTGGTGGGGGCTTGGTGCCCAAGGCTTCTGGGACTTCTGGACACTCGCCAGCTTTGATAACCTGACTCCACATTAGAAGAAGCAGCAAGGCAGGCTAGGCATACAAGAAGGAAGGAGGTGTGATGATTCACCTGGGCTCTGCTGACAAAGTGTTGCTGATCATCTGGGCTCACCAAAGTGGAACTCTGCTGCTGGAGCCCAGGAATGAGGCATCCTCACGACTGCGAGTCTAGCCAGTATCCAGTGGGACTGGCAGCGGGAGCCAGGCCCAGGTGGAGAAAAGGCAGCATTGGCTGGGTCCAGTCAGTGGCTCACCTGGAGAGGACCAGGCACATGGTGGCATCTCCTGGTAGGGCAGGGTATCCAGAAGGCCATGGCAGCAGGATGAGCTGGACCATGGAGAGGGGAGAAGGGGTTGATGGGAAAACCCCCATCAGATCCAAGTTGTTTGATTGGCAGCCAAAGGAGAAGGAAGGGAGGCTCCTGAAGAGCAGTGAAAAGGGCATGGGAATGGCAGGGGGATGGAGCAATCTTCCATTTAAAGAGGAACTCTCAAAGGACTGAGGAAGAAATGGGCTGGAGGGCTGCAGTTCTGTTGAGCTGGCCAGCCAGGGCGAGGGAGGATTTGGGTACATTTTAACCGCTCCCTGGCCCATTCTGAGGCCAGGGTAGTCTTTGGAGCTCAGGTTGCACAGTGGCAGAGAGGTAGCAGGAGGAGCAGGCCACACCAGGGCCACACACTTGGTGTCTGATCCTTGAAATGTATACAGTTAATTGTTGCGTTTTCTGTGTGGTCCCACATGAAAACTATGCAGGCTAGCTGTGGAAAGTTTAGAACTCATTAGCTTGTTAAGTGTTCCCCTTCCTTTGAAACAGTTTTTCCTGCTTCTGTGTAAAGAGAGATAGGTGCATTTTTCTACTCAGCCCTCCTCCATTGTGAGAAGAGGAAACCTCAGACCAATGCTCCCTCTAAGTTGTGGAGTCTTGTGAGCAAAAATTCTACTTTGTGAGCTACTGGCATTAAAGTTGTGAGCGAGCGATTTGGCGACTGCATAAATTAGTTTGCTCTGGAGCCATCCTTCCTGAGCTTAGACAAAAATGTGTGACCTGGAGGCTAAAAAACTGTGAGCTAGCTCACGCTAACTCAGCCTAGAGGGAACACTGCTTCAGACTTCGCTCACTTAGAAAGATAATAGCGCAGAAAATCCTTAATTCTGCCTGTGCTTTGTTCCATTCCCACTTTCATTCAGAAAGACCCTTTCAAAAATTGCTGCAGATGCAGAGTAGATATAACCCAAATTGACAGCTAGTCCCTCTTCCCTATCGGTCTCAGTGAGGTACATGAAGTTGTTAAGTGCCTGATATTCAAACAATTCACACCCAAACCTAGAAGAGACAGGGCCTCCTGGCTAAAAGCTGCCTTATGGGAAAAGGCTTTGGTAGCTAGTACTGTTTAAAATA